ATACATCTAATTTTTATACAAATATAATTGTTTATTTTGTTTGTTTGTATGTAAATCTTTCAGTTTGTGCATGTTTTGACGTTTACATCTAAATGCAGTTAATGTATATACATGTAATTTTTCTTCTATTGCGTCCCGCGCTAGATTCGAGATCTTTTTATTTTTCAATATCAGCAAAGCGCATGCTTGCACTTTGGTATCAGTTGCTCTAGCTGTCTGACCCTTTAACTCATCTATCCATTAAGGGTCTCCACCACATCATGAAGCCAAGGCGCACACGTGGATCTGTGACCATCTGGGGCGTGTGCTTGATTTGAACTGTGATTTCATGCCGTTTGTGGTAGGTGCAGTGTTTGCGAACCCGAGTATCTGATTTTCGCACTTTGTCTTTAGTGTGCATGATGGCATATCTGAGGATATCAGCGTGATGTGATAATTCGGCTCAGCTGCTGTGTCATTTGATCTATGGTCCGTGTGAGCAGTATGAGCTGATAGACCACATCATCCGCTTCTCTCACACAGAAAACAAGCGTAACGGCTGACACAGACCTGTCTAGCCCAGAGGCGTTTGCTGCGTTCATGAACTCCAAGCGCAGTGAATGGAATGACGACAGCGTAGATGAAGTACTTAGCTACACAGGCGTACCTCCGGTGGGCTGTGTCACTGCCAAGGGAGTCATCGCCACAGTGCCTGAGGGTGCGGAGGTGTGTTGTGTGGTGTATCTGAGGCTGTCCAGGTGTGTTGTTGGGTGTGGTGCGTGCTATGCGGTTGTTATATTGGTGGTGTACTGTATGAGGGTGTTGTATTGGTAGTGAACTGTATGAGGGTGTTGTGTATGAGGGTATTGTATTGGTAGTGTACTGTATGAGGGTGTTGTATTGGTAGTGTACTGTATGAGGGTGTTATATTGGACGTTCTATTGGTAGTGTATTGTATGAGGGTGTTATATTGGTAGTGTACTGTATGAGGGTGTTCTATTGGTTGTGTAATGTATGTGGGTGTTTTATTGGTAGTGTACTGTATGAGGGTATTGTATTGGTAGTGTACTGTATGAGGGTGTTGTATTAGTAGTGTAATGTATGAAGATGTTTTAGTGGTTGTGTAATGTATGTGGGTGTTGTATTGGTAGTGTAATGTATGGGGGTGTTGTATTGGTAGTGTAATGTATGAAGGTGTTGTATTGATAGTGTACTGTATGAGGGTGTTGTATTGGTAGTGTACTGTATGAGGGTGTTGTAGTGTAATGTGTGAGGGTGTTGTATCAGTAGTGTAATGTATGAGGGTGTTTTGGTGGTTGTGTAATGTATGTGGGTGTTGTATTTGAGCACTCATCACGCGTAGTGTTCTGTGACACTCTCGTCGACGTGCGAATACAGTTTGGTGTTTTCATATGGTCACACATAACTGTAGCTTTGTGTTGTAAAACTCATTAACATTTCAAGCAACAAGGATAAAGATCTTATCATATTAAGTAGCTAAAACAATAATGATAAGGATATTAACATATCCTGGCTGATTCTGTGTGGCCTCTATGTCACGTTCACAACCGTTGCGCATGTGTCAGCCAGTCTGTCTTCAAAAGTGAAATACACACACCCTCACTCTCCTTCAAACACTCACCATACACCTGTCCTCAAATGAGAAATACACACATCCTCACTCTCCTCTAAGCTTCTCGCCATACACCTGTCCTCAAAGGAGAAATAGACACACACCCACTCTCCTCTAAGTTCTCGCCATGTACCTGTCCTGTTTCTTCAGCGTATAGGTGACGATTGCGTCGGCATAGATAAGTTTCTGGGCTTAGGGTGTGGGCGCTTCTCGTGCCACTACTATCCCAAGTCAGTGTCCAATGGAGAGGGTGAAGTCGTGTTGCCTGACCTGCCAGGTCTCGTAGTGGTTAGTGGATTTTGGTTTCTCTGAGTGCGTACAACTTGTTTTAGGGTTTTTTTTTGTATGATTTTCCATAGCCTCCTAAAAAAAGAAGATTTTAGGAGGCTATGGATTTTCGACATGCTTTAGGGTTTTCTGGACCATCTGTGTCATCTGGTGGTTAGGGTTTTAGGGTTGTTCTAGTCCATGTCTGTGCCGTGTGGTGCATGCTTTAGGGTTTTCTGGACCATCTGTGTCATCTGGTGGTTAGGGTTTTAGGGTTGTTCTAGTCCATGTCTGTGCCGTGTGGTGCATGTTTTAGGGTTTTCTGGACCTATCTGTGTCTAGTCGTGGTGGTTAGGGTTTAGGGTTGTTCGTACGTCCGTAGTGTCGTGTACGTACCGTGGTGGGTCGCCTACGTTGGTTTTAACGGGGTTTTAC